TACGAACAAGCTGCCAAAACAAGGTTGGACTAACAATGATTTTATATTTAAGGTATGAAGACCAAAATGGCCTTTTGTATGGTCACAGTCTCCTTTCGTTATATAGAAGTTGTTTGACCCTGTTTTCGTAACTTAGCTATATTGGCAGGAAGATCTATAGGACCCTATTTAGTCCGGAGTCCATAGTTTGAGTGATAATTTTTAAATTTGGATCGTGGACGTGGTACATTCCCAGTCGTTTTGCCGGCACCGTCAGTGAGCATTGCCATTCTTAACACCACACTACAACTCGTCAAAGAGACAAGTGAAGCCGATCCTTTAACTAATTGTTTGGTAAACAATCGTGGTATCTCTCTTTCCGCCCTGTGCTAATCACCAATCCTATATCCTCACATCACCCCATCACTATTACAATTTTTACTTCCTTATTTAAATCTGATATGGTGTTCCCTTTTTAGATGCTTTCATAAGAACTCTCCACACCCCCTTTCACCCTTGTGCTGGGAATGTTGATCAGAGTCTGCCGTGTTGTTACGCAGGTCTTATACTGCAAGTAAAAATTGTAATTGCGAAGGGGTGATATGAGGATATAGGATTGGTGATTAGCCCAGTGACAAAAGATAGATAACATGATTGTTTACAAAACAATTGGTCAAATGATCGGCTTCACTTGTCTCTTTGACGAGTTATTGTGTGGTGCTAAGAATGCCAATGCTCACTGATGATGCCGACTACGATTGAGGCGAAACGTCTGGAAATGTACCGCGTTCACGGTCCGACTTTGGAAATTATCATGCATACAATGGACTCCGGACTAGTTGCGTTTCTCTAGGTCTTCCTACAAATATGATCAATTTGCGAAAGCAGGCTCAAACAATTTCTCATTATATATATTATTTGAAATCCTTAAATAGAATGTTCATGTTTTTAGGTACTCATTATGAGCGTTATGCTTAAATAGCCTAACCAGCATTTGATAGCAAGTTTTTAAATGATTAAGAGTATATTGCTTGCATGATTAGATTATTCCTACATAACTAAGTTCATTTCATCATTGTCATTTTTCTACTCCTAGTAACTAGATTTGTTTTGAAGTGCGTCTCGCATTACAAAGTAGCATTAATAGTTAAATATTACCTTAGACACCATTTTCTACTTCAATTTTGCTAAATCATCTAAACTGATTTGTTTACTTGGTAGTTCTTTCTATTACCGTTTAAGACATGAACACTAGTTGCTCAGGCCAGCAGATTTACATATATAAAGATTTTGCATCTTGGCTTTAACATTTTGACTCAAAGAGTATTTGTATAATTTTTTAATTCTTGTTTCTCATTTATATATTATGCTTTTTACAATATCTTCAGTCTCATAAGTAATTTTTCCCATTCCCAGATTTGCCAGGCTGTACTTAAAGACTTACAAAAATGCGCCATTGAAAAACGATTAGTCTCTTTCGAGGTACCCCAGAAAGTCTATTTGGATGCAGATATCTGGACTCCGGAAACAGGTTTGGTCACTGATGCTCTCAAGTTGAAGCGGATCAATCTTCAGCAGCGATTCCAGTCGGAAATTGATCGAATGTATAATCGTGGCTCTCGTCTCTAAGCTCTTTATGCCATTGCATTCATTCGGCCAGGCTTCTAGATGCACCTAGTTTTTTTGCATCTTTTTGCCTTGCTTTTACTTAATCTAACTACCTTATTCTCGTGATCATTAACCGAATTTATCCAGTTTTCTAACTTATCTACTCTTTCTCCATTTTTTCCATACCTTTTATCTGCGCCTGCACATCTTTATTGCTTCCTTCATTTTATTTCATTAAAATGTATCTTTATTCTTAATCCGTATTTCCCTTGTTGTTGGCTGACTTCTCAACATTTACCTTTTGAAGATACTTTAGTGCGTGACTTATTCGGCTATACTTGCGCCTCGCTATACTTTCCTAACTTGCGCCTCATTGTACACTGCATTCATGATTGGATGGAGCCACTTAGAGACGACATATGTGGACTGGTGCAGGCATATGAGGTAGTCTCATCTGGGCATGATTGTATTTTTCCGATTGATGATTCAGGTCATAGTCATACTTTACTCTTGCTGTTGGGATTTTGGTACTCTCTTGGTCTATCTCCAAATTGTCACTTACTCTTAACTTCCTTAGTCCTACCACTTTCGCACATCTCTTAGTATACATTATGCCTTTATCTTGTCTGTCCTTCGCTTTAGTCTAGTAAGTTGTGTACAAAATACACAGAAAGTGTATGACAAGCATATTTCGAAAACTTGACGCAATTGCAATTTCTCTTTCACTTATTTTCTCACAGAATTATACTACCTATCGTTCTATCTATCCCATTTTTATCCTCTGATTTGTAAACCATTTTATACTAATTTATTATCGAAATTAACACAAACACTAATTATTGGGGTTTTTCATTTTGTATATTCCACCTATTTAATTAACATCCTTTTTGCTACTATATTTACAAATAATGATTCTTGATCTCATTATACTCTACACATTTATGGTGTTCTAATTCTTTTTTCAATTAGCAATGTCTTTATCCTCTCCTCCCATAAAAAATCTGGGATACTCAACTTCCATATATAAACCATACTTCTGTTTCTTCCTTTTTCTAACACACTCAAGGAGAAAAGATTAATTATATTCTATGGCTATTTTCTAGTATACTCTTTGTTTAATTTTCCATTGATATTGCACTTACGCGTTGCCCTGAGGAATTGCATAGAATTGGCGGTTAAATTTTGGAACAAATGCCCCGTGTGTCTGCGTTCATCACCAGTACCACCATTATTACTATCGTATTACTTGGACCATCGTTTTTAAATGTCTCAAGCCTTGCCTTTTATTCGTTTCCTCTGTTTTCCTTTTCTTCGCTTTCTTTGTGTTTACTGTCTACTTAACCAACATATATATATATATATATATATATATATATATATATAGTATAAATAACAAAAAACGATAGCTACATGCCTTTCTTGTCTACTTTGTATCTTTAATTAAATTGTCTAGCGGTTTGACAAAATTGACTTCGAAGCAGTCACTGAATCTCATTGAAGAGTGAGGGCGTCCATTGGTCATTTGATCTATGAACTCCACTAACTACCCAATCTGCAAACGATCATTTGAGTTTTCTAATAATAATATTAGTGTTATTGGTTCCTCATGTCAGCCAGGCGTAAGTAGTGCGCTGGTGTCCTCGATTTAAGCAAATTCATTGTTTATTTAGCTTCCGTGGTTTATATGCTCATCATTCTAGCCCAGGCTTTCCTGAACACGAAATGATACAAATTCATCCATACATAAAAATTTCGTGTAACTAAGTCGTAACTTTCTAGTAATGGAGGCTTTTTTTAATAAATAAAGCTATCGGGAGATAATCTTATGTCCATAGCTCGGCGTTAATAAGGCCAGTGTCAATTCACATGCTACTGGGTCTGGTCATTTCGGTGATAAGTGAGGGTTGTAGTGTAAATTGCTTTATTTAGCCTGTATTATGGTTAGAAGTCATGCAGTGTTCTGATTTTGCTACCTTTTTATTTAGAAATGTAAATATTCTCAAATTTGTCAAGAACACTTTTGCACCTGCCACGGTTCCTTAACTATATATTTTTTGAGCTTAAAATTCCCCTACATTGTTCAAGTGACTCATAGTTACTTTCAAAGGAGGCCTACCTTTGGGCCCTTCATCAATATCTTTCATGTGTTGCGTCTTCAAACTGCTTGGAGGGTAGGGGTTTTATGACGTGACGAGACCTCTTCTTTCTCATTGAGAACTGAAGTAAATTTACGCATGCATTGGCGCACAACCTTTTAGTATTACTAGATGTTGCTTGTTTTTCAAGGCTCG